CGCCGTGGAGCGGGACGCAGGGGAAGGGGGACCTGCCTCTACGGCTGAGGAAGCAGCCAAGAAAAAGAGGCGGAAGAAAAAGAAGAGTAAAGGAGCTGGAGCAGGTAAGGGGAGTTTAATCTTTTCCTAGCGTCCGCCAGGAATGGCCGAATGGCTTGGCCCAGGCCCGGCGGGGGTGGCACGGACCGAGTAACCGGAGCCCGGACTAAACTGAGTCTCAGGCTTCAGCAGGCCGGTACAGACTCCCAGTCCCGAGCGGAGGCTGCTTCTCTTCCCGTGGCACTGGAGGGCTGGTGGGGGTGCCGTCGGGTAGAAGAGTGCCGGCTCTGGGTCTCTGGGCCTGAACTCCCAGTGCCAGAACTCAGGTCCCACACACGCTGTGGCACAGACCTGAAGCCGTGCACAGAGCACAGCTTCACCGTCTTCCACTCGGTTTGACCAGAAGACTCCTCCGAAACCCGCTTCCGACTCGTACTGCCGCCTCTTCGCTGGAGCAACCTGGGATGGATTTTTTTTTGTCGGGGGACAGGATGGGGTGGAGAAAGGTAACGACTAGCGTCGTCTTCCCCCAGCATGCCGATTTACGTTTGGATTTTTGTTGCAGGCTGCACTTCGGGGCGTGTGTGTCTGTGTGTGCCCACGCGCCCAGGTCACTGGTAGCTGCAGACTTTGTCATGGTGGTGGTACAGGTTTTCACCTGTCTAATCCCGCAGCGTTGTCAAGCTTTGGGGCCACTTGGCTTGAATTATGATGCTGCTTGCAGACAGTGCAGATAGGATATTCTGTGGCTCGGAATTGAACTTCTCAGGCTGAAACCTCAGAATCCACGGGGAAGGCGAGGAAAACAGCCGAAAGTTTACAGTTGAAACATGTTATGCGCTTCGAATTTATGTTTGTTGTCTTGAGAAGCCCATTCCTTCCCTCCCCCCTCCAGGCGCCTTCTTTTTAGGAAAAATTGATTTTACCTGTTTCTAATTAAGAACGAATAGGAGAGGCCAAAAGCGATTAAGACGGAGTTGAGAGAGGTTTGGAGAGGGCTGATCTACATTTTCCTGAAACTGATTAGATGAGAGGGGAAGATGGAGAGTTGTAGCAATGCTGGAACTCTTCCAGCACAAAATTTAATCCCAGGACATACTCTTGGTGGCTGTTTCTGGCTTTTGGATGAAATCCAAACTCTGCAGTTTGGCCTGTAAGGTGTTCAGCGGACTGATCGTAATAGTTTTTTTTTTTTTTTTTTTTCTTAATACATTTTTAACATTTGTATCTCAATAGGAGTAGTACTATTCAGTAGCCAGAACTTTGCATCATTATGGGTCACCTGATACTACTCTTTTTACACTTACATATTGCTTCTACAGGTAGATTGTAATCCCTTCAGAGCAAGGGACCTGGTTTGTGCTTAGATGTTAAGATGGTCCAGGCTATAGCTTTCAATTTATTTTCTTACCTTTTTACTTATTTAAATATTTAAAGAGAGATTTTTGCTGTAGGCCTGAGACACAGAAAGAGACAGATAGAAAGCGAGAAATCATCTCCCTGGGGGCATGGCTGTGCCACAATCCCTTCTCCTCCATCCCGGGATTTTGGGCACCAGTCCACCCTGCATGAGTTTGTTTTTGTTTTGTTGTTTTGAGTTTTTTTGCTATAGTGCATGTGCGCTTGCCAGAAAGACATAGACACAGAGACAGAAAGCAAGAAATCACCCCCCAGGAGGGATGGCCACGCCTCAATCCCTTCTCCTCCATTCTCCTCTTGGGATCTTGGGCACGCACGCACACTCGCCCGGCCTGAGTTTAAGCCACCAGGTCCCCGACTTAAAGCCGTGATTGACTACATGGGGGTCCAGTGACATAACCATTATGCCAACTGCTGGTCCTGGCACCCTGCATGAGTTTTAAGCTGCTGGGTCCAGGACTCAAACAGCTGTCCATTATCTGGGAATCCAGTAACATAACCATTTTGCCATCTGCTGGTCCCTACTGTTTTGTTTTTCTTTTTGTCCTTTTTTTTCTATAGCCCAGCTCATGGTGACAGCTTCTTTCTTCATGAAGCCCAGGGAGGGTCACATGAATGTTTTCTTTCTGAGGTCTTCAGCATTTATTGGCTTTCTTTAAGAATTTGATAAAGTATTTATTGTAGTCTCATTGAGTAATTTTAAAAGTCAAACTATAACACTTAAGGATAGGATCCCTGCTCACACTTTTGTTACTCCTTTAGCTTTTGGCATGTGTAATGGATATTTTGTTGAAAGGATTAATAAATGGACAGTATTACTTAGTTATTGAATTTTTAAGTAAGTTCTGTTATGTTCACAATAATGTTTGTGTTTTTGTTTCCTAAACACTTACCAGGAAAGGGTTTGTGAGTTCTCCAGGATTGATTGTTAGTATATACTCCAGTCAGAAGTATTTTTATTTAACTTGATTTCTGATATTTTACTTGATCAGCAGGGCAACAGGAACCTGATAAAGAATCAGGAGTCTCAGTGGACGAGGTAGCAAGACAGTTGGAAAAGCAAGCATTGGAAGATAAAGAAAGAGATGATGATGATGAAGGTAAATGGTCAGTTTGATTTTTGTGGTTAAAGAATGTGTCATTCTTGGGAACCAGCAGTTAGCGTAATGGCTATGTCGCTGGACTCCCACGTAGTCGACCGCGGTTCGCGTCCCGGACCCGGTGGCTTAAAACTCACGCCGGGCGTGTGTGCGTGCGTGCCCAAGATCCCAGGAGGAGAATGGAGGAGAAGGGATTGCGGCGTGACCGTCCCCCCGGGGGGTGATTTCTCGCTTTCTGTCTCTATGTCTCTCTCTGTCTGTCTGGCGAGCGCACGTGCCCTATAGTGAAAAAAAAAAAAAACTCAAAAAAAAAAGGTAAAAAAAAAAAAAAAGAATGTGTCATTCTTTAAACAAAATCTGTTTATTCATCCATATAGTCTGTTATTTTCTTGACATTTTACTTATTAAAGCCAAGTTAATTATGTCACAGATTAAAAGTATTATTAACAACTCTTTAAAAAGTTGATATGTTGAGTAATTGCTTGTACAGAACAGATCTCAGCTTTTAAATTTATCCTTGGTAGAAGGCCAAGTAGTGGGTGAGTATTATTACAAAATTAAGGGTTTTGTATTTATTTTTTATTGAACAACTAGTACATATTAGGCATTATTCCAGGAAACTTTCAAATGCAATCTCACTTAAACTCAAAACTCAAGTGAAGTAGGTGCTGTTCCCTTCAGGTAGGGAAATGGTGGTTAGGTGATTTGCCTAATGCAGCACAGCTTGTATGTGCAGAATAGAGCCAGACCTAGTACCTGATCCCACACCTATTCCTTTTACTCAGCTACCTCTCCTCATTCTCCCAGAAGCATATTGGAGTGCTTTCTATTTTAAATGTTCTCTATTATAGATATTCTCACTTTAGCACCTTATGGACAGTAACTTCAGGAATTCTAATACTATCAGTAAGAAAATGGAGGGAGAGAGACTAGATAAAAGAACTGTTCATCTAGAGCCTCTTACCTGGAGGGGAAGATGGGTGTTCCTGTTCTTTGAGTTTGTAATTACCTACTGCCCTGATCTCAAACACTGCCATCCTGGGTTTATGCTTTTCAACCATTAGCAGGGGCTATACTTAAGATACTCGAGTAATGTAGGATAGTTGTTTTTTCCTTTAGAAAGATATGTTCTCTGCTTTCAAGAAGCTTATAGTCAACATTTGGTAGAAGTTCAAGGGAATCGTTAGTGTTTTTTTGTTTTGTTTTGTTTCATTTTTATAAGCCAGAGAGTGTATGTGCTTGTCAGAGAAAAACACTCCAGAGGAGTGTGGTCATACTGTACTCTTGTCTCCGTTCCTCCATTCTGTTCAGATTTAGGGCATGCAGGTGTGTGTGCATGTACTCCACACTCAGAGTTTTGTTTTTCTTTTTTTTTCCTAAGACACTGGAGCTGGAAATTGAACTGTGAGGTTGGCCATGTGAGATATGGCTCCCTTAACTACTAGGCCACAAGACCAGCCCAGCTTTTTGCCTTTCTTTTTTTACCTCTTTTCTTTCTCTCTTTCTCTCTCCCTTCCTTCTTCCTTTCCTTTCCTTTCTTGCCATAGGTCACATGGACTCATTGGAGACAGGGAAAGTGAGAATCATCCCCCAGGGGAATAGCCAAGCCATAATCCCTTCTCCTCCATTCTCCTCTTGGGATTTTGGGCACACATGCGTCCAGTGTAATTTTCAAGCCACCAGGTCTGGAACTCCTGTCATTGGTCATCTGGTAGTTCTGCTACTTAATCACCACACTGTCTACTGGCTCCACTTTTTTCCTTTCTTAAGCAAAACTCTGCAGTCTACTTTGGCTTAGGTTTCAGATTATAAACATATTTAGAGCTTTTAAGAAAAGGCTTTTGGGACCAGCAAATAGCATGGTGGTTAAGGCACTGGACACACCCACATGGCCAAGCATGATTCAAGTCCCGGACCTGGTGGCTTGCTTTCTCATTTTCCCCCCCTCTTTCTCTGTGTCTCCTTCTGGTCAAAATTAAAATAAATGAATGAGTAAGTAAAATTAAAGAAAAAAATGTTTCTGTAAATTCAAAGAAATATTTTAGGTTGTAATACACCCACTATATAAAATATGGCAGTGCTACTCTTGAAGTGTGTCTTGTTCCATTTCACCTCTACAAAATGGTATGAATCTTTTGATACTGAAAGAGAAAAGTTTGTATTTTGATCGTACGTTTTCAGTTTATTACAAAAAATGTTAGGAATATTGGTAATTTTCTCTAATTTTAGTTGATCATTTTCTTATTTTGATAATTGGGATCAACCAGTACTACATATCAGTTATAAGAGGTCTTTGAAGTGATGGAAAGCTAGTATTTCAGAATCTTTCTCCTAAAGGGAAGTTTATGGTGTGGTACAGAGACCAAATGTCAGAGCCAATAGGTGATGTGGAGGGTTAAGTGGCTGGATCCCATATGACTGATTGGTGCAAGTCCTGGACCCAGAGGCTTGAAAACAAAGGCCACTTTGTGTGTGCCAAAGATCGTGAGAAGAGAATGGAGAAGAGGGGATTGCGATGGGACCATCCTCCCTGGGGCGATTTCTTGTTTTCTGTGGCTGGTGCTTGTACCCTATTGCAAAAACAAACAACCCAGGAGAAAAAAGTGGAGGTCCAAGGTATTCTGGTACCTGCAATAATAGTTCTTCAAATTTGGGGGTGGAATTGTAGACCAAATACTGAAGGATGGCTCAATGTAAGGAATAGGATTTGAATAAAACCAAGTGGAAGAGACCATTTTGGGTAGAGAGAATGCTGAGAAAGAATTCAAAGCATAGTGATAGTGCACACTGGCCATATGAGATGATTCATTGAAGGAGCCTTTGAGCATTTTAAGAATGGTTTAGAGGGGCCAGCAGGTGGCAAAGTGGTTACTCCCACGTGGCTGACCACAGTTCAAATCCTGGCCCTGGTGGCTTGAAAATCAAACTGGGCATATGTGCATGCATGCTCCAAATCTCAGGAGATTGGAGGAGAAGGACTTGTGGCATGGCTATCCCTTCTGGGGGTGATTTCTCTCTTTCTCTCTCAGTCTCTCTTTGGTGAGCACATGTGCCCTGTGGCAGAAAGCTTAAAGAAAAATGGTATGGAAAAATAATTTAGGCTTCATATGTATACAAGGTTGTTTAGAGGAGAGGAAATCATAGAAAAGCATGGAGATCATTTAGAAGGTCACTTAGCAATAGTCCAGGTGTTGGTAATGAAGATTTAGACTCATCACTGTAAGTGGGAATGGGCAGAAAGTAATGGTGATATAGATGCAGAATTCAAAGAACTTAGAGACTTCTGATCAGGGAGTATGAAAGAAGAGGCATTCAAAACTCTAGGGTTTTGAATTTGGGTGACAGAATGATGATGCTGTTGACTGAAATAGTGAAGTTAGGAGAGAGAACTGCTTAGAGACTGGGAGAGGGGACTTTATAGGCTAAGAAGGGACTAAGTTTAATGTCAGCTGTGTTGAAGTTAAAACTGGAGATTCAGTGAAAAGTTGATCCTTTGTGCTCCTGGCAATGTGCTAGAGGTAATTCATTCAATACATTTTAAGTCAGGCTTATTAATACATAATTTGCCTAAAATTACTTACCCTTTTTAAGTGTATAGTTCATTGCGTTTTTTGTTGTTGGTTGGTTTTTTTTAGAGGTTTTTGCTATAGGGCGCATGCGCACACCAAAAAGACAGAGAGAGACAGAAAGTGAGAAATCACCCCCCAGGGGAAATGGGCATGCATGCACATGTGCTCAGCGTGAGTTTAAGCCATCCGGTCCAGGACTCAAACTGCAGTGGACTACTTGGGAGTTCAGCAACATAGCCATTACGTTAACTGCTGGTCCCAAGTTCGTTTTTCTTGACAAATATGTAATTGTAAATCACAGTCAAGATACAGAACATTTTCTGGACCAGCAGGTGGCATGGTGGTTAATGCACTGGACTCTCAACGTGGTTCAAGTTCCACACCTAGTCGCTTGCTTTCTCACTTTCTCTTGTCCCTTTCTGCTGAGTTTATATGCCTTGTAGCAAATTAAAAAAAAAAAAAAGTATTTATAATAAGAAAAAAAAGATCTAGAGGAGCCATCCCAAGACACTGCAGCCAGCCGTAGTGACAAGGGCTGGCTGCAGTCGACCATGCCTGCGGTCAGTGCCCAGTGCCAGCTGTCCTAGACCCCAGCCTAGCGAGTCTAACCCTATAGTGCAGGGTACCTGGGAGGACCGGCCGCCACGGCCAGGCTCTGATGCTGTAGTTCCCTTCTCCATTCTCTTCTTGGGATTTTGGGCATGCACACATATACCCGGTGTAATTTTCAAGCTGCCAGGTCCAGGATTCAAACCATGGTTGACTGTGTGCAAATCTAGCACCTTAACCACTATGCCCCCTGCTGGCCCCTTTCATTATAGTTTTAATTTTCACTTCCCTAATGATAGTAAGCATCTTTTCTTGTAATGTGTGGTTTTTTGTTGTTGTTGTTGTTGGTTGTTTTTTTTTTTTTTGTTTTTTGCTTTTTGGCCTTTCTTTGGTGAAGTTTTTAATGGTTTGTCCTTTTTTATAAAGCCAGAGCTGGAGGGAGAAAGTACCCTCCCCCATCCCATGAAACATACTCATGCTGGAATCTCTTCTCCATTTCTCCATCCTGTCAGAATTTGGAGCATCCCAATACATGCATTTTGGGCATGTATGCACACCTGCTGACATGTTTTTTTAGGCCATTGGGGCTGGGATGTGAGTTGTGATTGGCCATGTGTGATCTGGCTCCCTTAACCACTAGGATATAGGGCCAGCCTTTGGGTTGGTGTCTTATTGAGTTATAATAGTTCCTTTGTGTATTCTGGATACAAGTACTTTACCAGTTTTGTTTCACAAATGTTTTCCCCCATGCTGTGGGATCCCTATTCATTTCATTGATGGTAGTGCTTACAGCACAATTTAATTTGATGGGATCTAGTTATTTTTATTTATGGGTAGTTTTGGTGTTCTATCCAGAAAGTTAAATCATCATTGTCTCTAAGGTCATGAACATTTTTGTCTATGTTCTACAATAAGTTTTATGTATTTTTAGCTATTACATTAAGTTCTGTGGTTCATTTAGAACTAATTCTTCTGTAGCGAGGGAGTAAAGGTTCAGTTTCTTTTTTTTTTTTTTGGCATTTGGATGTCTAGTTGTTATTCAATATATCATTTGATGTGGGCATAATATTAATACAGAAATAAATATGAACAGTCTCTGCCTATTAAGAATTACCTTGAGAGGGCTGATTCTGTGTCTCAGCAGTTGGGTATTGCTTGAGAAAAGCTGGATCTTGCTCAGCAACTGCGGTTTGAAACCCCAGCTTGATCTGCTTGAGATGTGGTGGCATGTGCCTGAGATGAGCGTTAGGATCTGATAGGCTAGACAGCTGGGGAAGGGATATCATGGTGCCACCAGACTCTGTGAAGGTTGCGCTCTCTCACTCTTGCGAGTGTATACATGCTTTATCATGAATGAAGGAGAAAAATTATATATGTGAAAAGAGAATACCCTGAGAACCCTAGCCTCTGTGATGCAGTCAGTAGCCTACTGGATCATGAAGCTGGAAGCCACATGCTGGCCTCATTCTGAGTTCCTGGCTTTGGCCTGAGAATATATGGAGTTGTGTGCCCACATGTCCAGGAAGCCAGTGGGCGGGAGGACTAGAAGAACGGAATCATGGCATGACCTACCTAGTGAAGAGTATCCACTCTTATGTGCACACATGTACACGCACCTCTTACGAATTTTAAAAATATATAGATAAGAATACTGACAGGTGGAGTTACTTACCACTGTGCTAACAAGGTTGGGCTCTCTTGGGATGCTCTGAAAGAGAGGCATTTTTGTAAAAACATAAGTTGAAATAAGGTGTAATGGTTGGAACCTTTTTTTTTTTTTTTTTTTAAGAATTATTTAACTTTATTGTTATTTTCCAGTTTGATCAGAGAAAGACATGGGCAGGAGTGAGAAAGCAAGCCACCAGGTCTAAGACTTGAACTGTTGTCAGCCATGTGTTAGTTTTTACCCACCACGCCACTTGCTGGCCCATGGTTGGAACCTTAAGCATATACAGTTTTTCAGATCCTAACTCTGCTGCCATCTTGCCACAAAGAGTTCAATAAATGGTGGGTATTATTCTGTACTTAAAATAGGCTGTGCTAAATAATTACCCACAAGGATAGTAGAGTGATAAAGATCTTCTCCCCCCACCCCCAAACAATAGAGAGAGAGAGAGTACTCCTCAAGGGAGATGACTACACTGAAGTCCCTCTTTTTTTGAGAGAGAGGTTTTTTGCTATAGGGTGCCTGCACTTGCCATAGAGACAGAGGCAGAAAGTGAGAAATCCCCCCCACCCCAGGGGATGGCCATGCCTCAACTTAATCCCTTCTCCATTCTTCTCTTGGGATTTTGGGCATGCTTGCATTCACACCTGGTGTGAGTTTTAAGGCACCCAGTCCGGGACTCAACTGTGATTGACTATGTGGGAGTTCAGTAATGTAACCGTTATATCATCTACTGGTCTTGGTCTGTCTCTTTCCTGAGAGGAAAATGAAGAGAAGGGATTGTGGTGTGGCCACCCCCTTTGGGGGCGGGTGCTTTCTCACTTCCCTCTCTTTCTCTCCTATCCCTCTGTCCTTCTCTAGGAAGTGCATAGACCCTCTGGCAAAACTGGCAAAATTTAAAAAATAAATAAATAAAAAAGTAAGTTGTGTTTTCCAAACATTTTTCATGTTGTTTTTGTTAGACTCTTGAATCTAAAAACTCATTATTGAGCAAGTCAGCAATATTGTGTTTCTACTATATTCTTCTGCTAGTGGGTTCTTGTTAATTTTATAAAATTAAAAATAAGAAATTACAGTGTTACAAGTGAAAGATAGGGGATAGCAGTTGGCGTAATGGCTATGTTGCTGGACTCCCACGTAGTCGATCGCGGTTCGAGTCCCGGACCTGGTGGCTTAAACTCGTGCCGGGTGCGTGTGTGTGCCCCAGATCCCAAGAGAAGAATGGAGGAGAAGGGATTGCAGCGTGGCCATCCCCCCTGGGGGGGTGATTTCTCGCTTTCTTTCTCTGTCTCTCTCTGGTGAGCGCACGCACCCTATAGCAAAAACCTCTCTAAAAAAAAGAAAAAAAGTGATTGCTGAAATTTATTGAGCAGCATTTTTAGAAATTCAGACACTTAGTTCTGTCTTTGATGTTCTTACTTAAAATGTTCTGGGACTGGCAGGTAGCATGATAGTTAAGGTGCTAGATTCCTACTGTGATTCCAGTCTTGGACCTGGTGGCTTGAAAATCACAATAAACAGATAAGTAAGTAAATAAATGTTAAAAAAAAATTAAAAAATAAGAGACCAGCAGATGGCATAATGATTACATCACTGAACTCGCACATGGCAGACCAGAGTTTGAATCCTTAACCTGGCAGCTTGAAACTCACACTGTTCATGTGTGTGTGCATGCCCAAAATCCCAGGAGGAGTATGGAGGAGAAGGGATTGCAGGGTGACTATCCCCTAGGGGGTGCGATTTCTCGCTCTCTCTCTGGTGAGTGCACACACCCTCTATCAAAAATCTCTCTAAATAAGTTTTTAAAAATAATAAAGTGTTCTAAGTCATTGTTTCTTTTTTTCTTAATATCCTTAGTCTTTTCTCAAAATTTAAGGGTATTGGCATAGGGTTCATAGACAGTTGTTGTTTAAAAACAAAACAACCCCAAGTGGGGACCAACAAATGGCATTATGATTATATCCTGGACTCCCATGTAGTTGACCACAGTTCTAGTCCTGGACCTGGTGGCTTAAAACTCACGCCAGGCACATGTGCATGTGTGTCCAAAATCCTGAGAAGACAGATTGCAGGGTGGCCATGCCCTCAAGGGGTGATTTTTCTCTCTGGGGGGTTAGGGGGTGGTGGGGAGGTTGATTTCTCGCTTTCTCTTTGTCAGTCTCTCTTTCTCTGACAAGCACATGCGCCCTGTAGCAAACATCTTTAAAAAAAAAAAAAAAACTACGAGTAAGTTTTTGACTGTTTCAGGTACACTTTTGCCAACTATTTCCAAAACAGTTTTAACACCAGATTTTGGGCATCAGGTTTTGTTTTGTTCTTTTTTTTTATTTTATTTTCCTTTTTTTTTTTTTGGGGGATTTTTCACTT